CCATCCATCCATCCATCCATCCATCCATCCATCCATCCATCCATCCATCCATCCATCCATCCATCCATCCATCCCCTCTGCAGCACAAGTTTCATCCCTGGCCAGGGAGGTGACCCACATGGTGTAGTAGACCTCTCCTGACCCACCTGTTGCTCCCCTCAGTACATCTGCCTGTTGTGCTCCCCAATCTGTCCCAGCACCTCTGGTCTGTACCCCAGTTCTGTATGCATAAATAAATCTTTTTTTTTAAATGTACCAGATCTATTAACTAAAACTATGAGACATTCCTGAGATTTACAGAAGTCAAAATACTATGAAGTCATGTTTTGTCCATAGGCCAGGTGTTAAATCTACCTCAAAATGAAGCACAGATCCAATGCAGTCACAATACAAAAAAAAAAAAAAAAATCTCACTATACTTTTCCATAGAAACAAGATGATTCTAAAATTTATAAATGTAAAGGAAAAAAGAATACTGAAAATGAAACAATTCCTGAGGTCTTGCCCTACCTAACTTCAAGATTCTTTGTAAAGGTTGTACAATAGAGGACATAAAGACAGCAGAGATTAATGAACAGAATATACCTCTCACGCACATATAGATTCTTAACAAGGACCCAAGTATACCCTTCGTTGAGGCCACAAAACACAGTGGACCACATTCTCCTGGAGGGCTGACCTTCAACAACCCAGCACTCACAATGCATCCTCAGTATCCAGAAGTAACTTGAAACTAACCTGACTTCACATTCCACCAGATCCTTCCCCATCCAATTCAAGGCAAATCCCTTCTTCCAGCTGCTCAGACTGCAATCTGGAGTTGCCCTACTGACCAACTACTCCACCATCTGGAAACCCTAGTGGTTCTGCCATCAAACACATCTGGGGTCCAACCACTTCTCAAACCTCCACTGGTAACAGTCTTCCCTGCTATGATGGGAGCCCGAGAACTGGATTTCATATAACTTATTGCTTCAACAATCAATTCTTTAATTAGCATCCCAGGCTTAAAATGACCTTTGAGGCCCTCCCTGGTGGCGCAGCGGGTTAAAGCACTGCACTAAGAAGCTAAAGCCACTTCTGCATGAGTTCGATACCTGCCTGCCCCGGAGGTGACCACATGGCG